CAAGTACAAGAGTACCACAGACTTTTCTCTTCTGCCTAAGGAAAGGACTGTTTCCCTGGGCTTCGAATCCGATACCTCTAGACACTTATCGAGGCAATGTGTTAAAACATTAAACAAAGAGTCGGCAAACTTTAGATTTGTGTAAGAGATAACGTGAAGATTGAATTTTAATAATCAACCAAAACTACGTATCGAATCATATTTTGATTTATATTATATTAATTAACAATAATATTTCTTTATAGGGGAATTATGTTAATTCTTCGTTATTAAATACTTTACTCAGTTACACCACGACTAACCACAGATAATAGTAGAAACCAGATTAAAGTGCAGTTCAATTGTTCTTGAACCAAATAACACACGCACGGTGCATCAGCGCTGGCGATCTGACTTATGTACATCCTTTTGTTGTTGTTCCTTGTAGCCGTTCACAAGATAAAAAATATAATTAGGTTATCATAGCCGACAACGATGGCGTCTGAAAACCGAACATTTTTAATCTAACCTGTTTTTAAGACTATCATTTTACGATTGTTATCGTACAATTTTAATAAATATTTGTGTGAAGTCTTGAACTTTTAAAAAAGTAGTGACTAATTAATATAATAATTAAAACATTATGATTAAACATAGTAAAAAATGGTTTACATGAAACCAATCGTTATTATGAGAAAATTTAGGCTTTAACGTCAGTTTTAACAGAGTATGTAAGTATAATGACGTCATAACCTGCCAAACAGGACCGCTTTAGACTTCCTTGTTGTAAACCAACTCTCTAACTTGTTCTTCCTTCAAAATATGGTTTCAATTCTGTGGCAATTTATAGCAATTAACCACAGATTAAAATTAAATCATATTTATTTTCAAAAAACCATAATTTTTAGTCGATATGTCGACTTCTTTTAAATCAAGTTCCAATCAAGGCAGACAGATTATTATTTTTTTGTATTGAATTTTAAACCTAGAAATAAATATTTAATATGTTAAAGACGTAAAAAAATCCTTCGAGCCGGATTTGAACCAGCGACCTATGGATAACGAATAATCAACTACAGTCCACCGCTCTACCAACTGAGCTATCGAAGGTGGTAACAGTTTATTGAAAATAAGGAGGATGTTTTGTGCTTGTTGCAAGAAATGCATTTTTATTTTGCATACGCGGCATATCTATAAAAGCCGTAGTTTTAAACATTGTCTGTAGTTTACGCGAGTAGTACACATTTAAATAAAACACGTTAACGGTTTAAAACGCGATATAATTTAGTTAAACTTGTTTGAAAATTTTTAAATACGGCCCGTATGTTTTGACGAGGAGAAACGTCGGGCCGTTGTTAAAATAATTTTCAAACAAGTTTAACTTAAATATATCTCGTTTTAAACCGTTAAAGTGTTTTATTTAAGCCGCTTGTTCAACATGTATTTCGTCAAATGCAATAGAAATAAAGGCGTGTATCAAATTGGGTACAGCAAATATAGATTTATTTTTTAAGGCATTTATAAATTAAAATATCTACTTAAACTTATTACAGAAAACGTTAATTGAAATAAAAAAGAAAAACAATAGAATATACATAACAAATAAAGTAGTACATGGTTATTCACTTCATGAATGTAAGTTATATAAATAGTAAATGTCATCGTTCAATATTTATCCTTAATGAATTATTTTACTAAACCAAAATGTAATGTTATAGATGTGAACACTACATACCTACAATATCAGAATCAACTGTTTGATAACGATATCTGTGAAGCGTGACCACAGAGGTCCCATTCTTCTGTAATCGTTATCTCGCTATAGACAACAATAAAAATTGTCTATAAAATACTTATTTCGTATACATATTACATACTAGTAGGCAACTAATCGTGACCAAGAAAGCATCCGAAACTTCGGGCCGAAGTTTAATTAAATTTAATAATATACTTAGCGCTTCTAAACTATTAAAAGTTACGGTTTAACTTTACAAAATTTGACAGTATTAATAAGTATAATTTAAAGAAAACATTTTTTTTTGTTATTATTAACCGCCGTACAGAATGGTTCAGATTTATGTCATTTTATTCATTTACACCCAACGAAGATGAAGGTGGCGGTAATGTATCAGATTTGACTTTGACGGATTGAGAACGTCCTCACAGCATTTAAGCCAATAAGTACTATTATCTTGCGTCTTAAAGCTGTTACATGTATTTACAGTTCTCTCCAAACATTTTGGCCAGACTGAAGTTAGCGCGACCGCCATCTTGCGCATGGTACTGCCAACTTCAGCCCGGTCAAAAAGTTTGCAGAGTACAGTATGCCCCTTTGTTCTTCTTGAAATGCTACTAATACTATGGTACTAGTCTTCAGTTATTTGATAACTACGTATCGCATGAACGAGGATAAGACCTCAGCCCAACAGCGTAATTGACCTGCCGGTGCATGCAATACGCAAGGTCGTATCAAACTGATCGAGTTTCCCTTATTGAATAATATTTTCTTCCATTATTTACAACTAGTTATATTGTATCATTGTTGCTGTGAGTATCTTTTGTAGTATTGGGCTGATTTTTAATAATTTCCCGAACTAAAACATTTTAGCGGCTTATAGCGCGATATATATTAGTTAAATTAAATATTTTTTACTAACTTTTTTTTAAATGCGTTCTACTCGCGTAAACTAGAGACAAAATTTAAGTGCCTGAAATTCAGTTTCTGACTAGATAAATTTGTGTATCTGTTTCGCTGGCCGATTATATTTATTTATTTACACTTTATTGCACAAAAAAATGAACAAAAATATAAACTTATAAACTAAACATATGGAGTGCAATGGGCGGCCTTCGATGCAATCGCTAACGAGCGATCTCTTCCAGGCAACCCAAGATGAAAGAGGAAAAAGTTTACGGGAAAACGATGGCAGGTGGGCGAAACAAAATGTACAATATTAAAAAAATCTTAAAAATATCAAAATAAAACTTAGACACAATTTCAAAACTTATCAACGGAAACTAAACTAAAATAAGGATTGGGTAACAATATTAATAGATAGTGACAATTTATTCAGATAGGTAACTAAGTGACATAAAGTGCTTGTAGAGGAGCTTTTTAAAGGATAGGAGACTGCAAGTATTTGCTGACTGCAGTAATTTGAAAAGATTTGCCTAGAAAGTTGGAGCTGTGGGATGGAACTTCAAGTATAAGCTGGTCAGATGATCGCAAATCGTAGCTACCGTACGGACCCATGAATTTAAACTTAGATTTTAGATAGGAAGGAGAATTGGGAGAAAAAAGGATAGAATAAAGAAGATTAAGGATATGCGCATCTCGCTGAAAGGGAATGGGCAACCATCCTAGCTTTTTACGGAACGCGGATACAAGATCGAATTTTCTTAAACTAAATACGAATCTGATACAGAAGTTTTGTAGACGATCTAGAAAGTTTATCCAACAGTTTCTCATTCAAATCCGGGGAGCATACGTCGGCATAGTCCAGCAGTGGTAAAAGAAGAGTTAGAGCTAGGATGGTCTTAGTGAGTATAGGAAAGAAATGACTAAGTCGTCTTAGCACACTGGAAGCGGCATAAATTTTACGGCCAATATGCTCAACATGATGCGCCCAGGAAAAGGTTTGGTCAAGGTATACACCAAGATTTTTTACAGACATATTATTTATTTATTAACATTATTACACACACCACAGAAATGGTTACAACAATAAATTTGTACTAGTTAACTAAAAGGCGGCCTATCGCTAAGCAGCATTCTCCAGCAACCTGAAGTGAAGGGAAAAACAAAAAAAAAAAAAAGGCTAAGAGGTGTCTAGAAAGGATCATGAAAAAGAAAAACAAATAAAATTTGGAACAAAGACTTACTTATGTTAAGGACCACATTCTCTATGTGAATGCGGGGAAGCTGTGACCAATCCACTCTCGAGATAAAATAAGGACTTCCTATGACAATGACTTGGCTTTTAGAAAGATTAATTCTAAGGCCAAAATCTTTACGCCATTCTTCAATTTTACGTAGGTAATTATTTATCTTCTGCATAGCAAGTGGAAGATCATTAAGAGAAGATTGGACATAGATCTGAAGATCATCAGCATATAAATGATAGGAAGAAGAGAGGTGACTGGTTAGAGAATTTATAAATACCGCAAACAGAAGAGGAGATAGGCGGTGTCTTCCTGTGGGACACCAGCTGTTACTTCATTCCACTCAGAAATAATAACTCCTCCTCCGCTGTTGACGACCGTGAAGGTAACTCGAGAACCAGTTAAGAGCAGTGGGAGAAATATTAATGGAATGTAGAAGACTAAGAAGCACTTCAAAATTTATAGTATTAAAAGCATTACTTTTAACCTAGATGTATAGGAGAGATTTCCTTATAGTCAGCATTTCGGCTACCAGTTTCGGTATAAGCTTGTTCTTTTACATACTTTTAATATACAATCCATATTATAGATGGTCAATAATGCCTTCGTATTAATTTAACCTTGCTATGTGATAATTGTGTTTAAAAGTCTAAATCCGAGAAGTAATCAAAAACGCTTTAATTAATCTAAGTTTGGCACGTTAGCACTTTAAGTTTTTGTTTACTTTATTTTTTAATAAATCTTACGGCGTACATCTTAAAAGCCCAAAGTTTCATTTATTTGAATATAAAGTGTTTTAACAGTGTACTCAATTACGTAATTTTATTTTCCTTTATTCTATAGAAGTTTTTATTTTATTTAACAGAGAATAAAGTCGTCCAGAATTATTAAGTATATTGGAAGTTACACATTGAAATATAGTTGCAACGTATTTACCTTATTGCCCAGATTAATAGAAAAATGTATTTCAATTAAAATTAAAAACATAAATAAAGGTTGTACGATGTATTCTGTTATCAAAAACATGTGTCAAATACCGTGACCGGACAACTTAATAGTTCACCACTAAAATGTGATTCTTTTACGTCTGAATATTGTCTTCATAGTCTTCCTTATCTTAATAATTTCTCTGTCACCAGGACTGACGAACAAGGCATAACCATGAAGGTGTACCAGGGAGTAATGATGGCGTTGGAGATCGTGGTTCTAATCGTGAAGTTATACGCCACCTGGTTCTATTGTCTATATCGGTTCTTCGTGCCTCCAGAACCTAAAAGTATTAATGGGGAAATTGTTTTGGTAAGTTAAAACCGGCCTTTACATAATATTATGGATAATAATTATATTGAGTATTAAAACGAGGTGAAAGGCACTTAGGAAGTAGCCTTTATAAATGCGGAAAGAATGTGTAATACTGTGTACTTACATGTACTTATTTATTTGTTTATTAATATATTTAATTATATATTTCAACATTTTTCGTTGGTACTTACAATAAACATAATTATATAATCGCTTATTTACTATGCGTTTATATCATTATGTCTGTTACTATTAATGCACTTGACATTTTATATATATTATGTGTGAGTGAAAAGGCAAAATGTAGACTTTTGAATTTCGTTACGATAGAAGCCGCGTGTACAAGTTAAAATATATGCGCAAAATATGCACAATACGACGAAATGTTTCCGTCCTATATTACCCATTTGCCAGTTACATAGATTGACCCCTTATGCACCGGAGACATATCCTTGCTTTGATTTATATCGCATGTCATAAGTGTGGTACCTTAGAAACGACATCTTGGTTTAATATGTAGTCCCATTATTGGGAAATAAATTGTTTTTAAGATGGGTCATGCAGATACAATTTTAGAATACCTATAATCATTATTTTTACAAGGCCTAAAACTCTCGGAACGTTGAAACTAATTAAAAAATTGAAAAACAATTTCGACTCTGACAGGACTTGAACCGGCATCGTCAGCGTTCCGTGCTGTTGCTCTAGCTCAGTTGGTTTGCTTGGTTTAAATTTTATAGTGCCTTCATGGGTAAAAATAATGAAGTTTTCAAACGTTGAAACTATGTTATATTAAACATACACATGTAGTAGGACTTTTTAGCAATACTTGAATAGCTTGAAAACTTCATTATTTTCTACATGATGACATTATGTTAATTAAAATATATTTACATAAAAAAAATAATGATACGGGTGGTAATTGTACCGGCATCAACAGTTTCTGCTGACTCTAAGCAATGAGCTACTGTGTCTGACACGTCATGGTCGAATTTCTTTCCATTAATACATACACCTTATGCGCAATGTAATTTCAACCTTAACTATTATAGATTGAGGTTCAATGTCTTATAGCAGCTTAAGAACAAAGAAGACAGTTATTTAATTTTCTTATGGTCTTTATTTACAGATAACTGGTGCCGGCCATGGTATGGGCAGAGAAATGGCGTTACGTTTCGGTCGCCTGGGCAGCATTGTCGTCTGCGTTGATATTAACCCGAAGGGCAACCAGGAAACCGCTGAAATGGTCAAAGAGGATAAGGGAAAGGCACACACTTACAAGTTAGTCATAATTTTTACCTCGTCCTAAATTCCCTATACTTTTCATTGAACGACCATTCAGTGATTTAATACGATTTAGTATTGTCCGTCAGTAGTACACATTTAAATAAAACACTTTAACGGTTTAAAACGCGAAATATATTTGTAGTTTTTAATATTAGATTAGTTAAGCGTATTTGATAACGATTTCAAGTGTTTTATTTAAACAATAAAATTTTTTTTTTTAAAGACTCCAAAAGTTAAATATATTGTAGCATATTAATTAATATCGAAATCATTAGACAAGGTTCAAAAATGAAGAGTTTCTACGTAGGTTAACGTTTCAGTCTAGTAACATACATTATATGAAGCTGCTACAGGCCGAGGGGTTTTTTTAACAAAAAACATGATTTTCAATAGAGTTGATAATTAAATAATTAAATGGTTTTATTAAAATTCGACTCGGGCTAGACATGAACCGGCCTCCACAGCGGTCCGGGCTAAAGGATATATATAAATTAACAATTTTCGGTCACTGAACTATTATAGATTAACATTTTTAGACTATAAAAGTATAAATAAGTCAAGTCCTAATATTGCACTTAGCCTACTCTGCCTCTAGCAGCCTCATATACATATGATCATTTCAGATGTGACGTCACAGACCGCCAGGCCATCAACGAACTGATAGGGAAGGTTCGCAAAGAAGTCGGTGATGTGACGATACTTGTGAACAACGCTGGTATTATGCCGTGCAAGCCTTTATTGGAGACGAACGAGAAGGAGATCCGGATGGCCTTCGAAGTCAATGTCCTCTCGCATCTTTGGGTGAGTTTATATTTGAAAGCTACAGGAGATAGAAAAATGGCAACATTAATTATTGCATTTTGAGCTTTAAATCTCGACGTTTAAGACTCGTTCCATCAACCCGTGGTTACGAGGGTATTTAAAAATGATTTAATTCGGGTTTTTCCCGTTTTAAACCGGTAAACCTGCTTTTTCCCAATTTGTCCCCCCCCCCTTTTTTTTTGGGGAAAACTCTCTTTTTTTTTTTGGGAAAAAAAAAAGGGAAAATTTTTTTTTTTGGGGGTTGCCCCCCCCCCCCCCCCCCCCCCCCCCGCCCCCCCCCCCCCCAAAAATTTGAAGAAGGGGGGCCCCCCCCCCCAAAAAAAAAAAAAAAACCCCCCCCCAAAATTTTTTTTTTTTTTTTTTAAAATTTCCCACCCCCCCCCCCCCCCCAAAACTTTACTGTAAAGATGAGGACTAGGTTTACAAAAATAAATTTCAACACCAAAAATAACTATTCCACGCGAATAAAGGCACGGGCATTGCTAGTACAAAATTGTATACATGTACACACTTACTTAATCTATCGTATAGGATTATTTTGTAAACACCTGTACGGTGTCTGATAATGTGGTTTACCTCAGTAATTGATACTGTGTAATGTAAGATTCTCCTCCGTAATTCTTCGCTTCCGCAGCTCAATATTTGAACACGTTCCTGACTATTGCTTTATCAAAAATAAATTGAAAAAAAACCTAAATAGTAGAGAATAGCACGGAACGCTGACGATGCCGGTTCAAGTACTGCCGAGTCGAATTATTTCAATTTATTTTTGATTTTCAAATTATTATCTTAAATTATTATATATTTATCTTCAATGATTATCTTATGCTGCAAAGAATAAGACATTAAACCTAAATTCGCACTGTTAAGACTGAAATTACATTACGCGAGAGGTGCCTGTAACAATAAGTTGAAAAAATTCGTCATGAAGTGTAGGACTTGGTAGCTCAATTGGTAAAGCAACAGCGCGGAACGCCGACGATGCCGGCCAGTTTGGCCCGAGTCGAAAATTGTTTTCAATTTATTTTCGATTTTTAAATTATATAGTGCCATCATGTGCAAAATATTAAAGTTTTCAAAGTATGAAATTATTTGAGATACATGTTTATGCACATAATAAAACTGAGTCGAGTATAAGAAAAATATTGTATAGGCATTTATTTAATTTGAATTTCAGTTTACAATTCTGCAATAAAAAATCAAATAGAAATATTAAAGTCACAACATGTGGTTTCAGTTTTTTTTTAATCTCATCAATTTATATAATATGAGATAGGTAGTGTACATTGTTATAAAACGCCTGTGGATGGACGCTGTGCCTGGACATTAATATTTTTCTTGAGATTGTTTTTGATATCTTTTAATAATCAAGTACATTGCGAATGTTATGAACTTAACGATCTTTTTCTGCTTTAAAGATAAACTTGATTTTTTCAGCTGCTCCAGGCTGTCCTACCCTCCATGATGGAGAAGAACCACGGTCACATAGTAGCCATGTCATCGATGGCCGGTGTCCTGGGACTACGTAACCTGGTTCCTTACTGCGGAACCAAATTCGCCGTCCGTGGAATGATGGAGGCACTCCACGAAGAACTAAGGGAAGATCCACGAGACTTTAGTGGGGTTAGTTTATGTATAAGGATTTTTTTTTAAACAGCGCCACCTAGCGGGGTTAATTTGCATCGATTAAATTGCAATATTCGTTTGGTTTCTGTAATATAATAAGAATTTTTCAGATTTCGTTGAGTGTATATCTTTAAATAATCCTACTACTTATTATTACTCTTATAAAAGACATATTTAATGTTTTTAGATTAAACTGACCTGTATATGCCCATACATCGTGGACACAGGTCTATGCAAGAATCCAAAGATCAAATTTCCATCCCTGATGAAGATCATCTCGCCCCAAGAAGCTGCCGACAACATTCTAGACGCTGTTCGGCGGAACTACCACGAAATTACGATACCTAGCTCACTCTATTACATCAACCAGGTAACTTGAGGGGAATGCTTTAAGCTTTTAAAATGCTTTTACCCTCTTCGTGCCGTGAAGTTAGTATTTTTGAGTTTTTCCTTTAATAGACTACTAGAGATAGAGTTCCATTTTAAAATTGAGATTCTATTCAACTGCAATATATGCTATTTAGTTGTGCACAAAATAAACGTCTCTAGCTACTTAATTCAAGATCCAAATTATCTATACACAATGTAATATTTATCCAAACGAATGCAGTGTTATTGCTTGAAATCCTAATAAAGTACTAGTTATCATCTAATCTAATAATAATCTGCTTTGGTTTAGAACGTACGACATGGGATGTACTTTTAAAAAAATACTAATAATTCGGAATTAAACCTACACTAAACTAGGGTTTATAATTTGGAGGAAAAGAGACCCGGATATTTGGTTTTGCCAACCAAAATCACAATTTAACTAGAACCATATCTCTATTCTTCTTGGCTATTTTTATCAAATTATTCCATACCGTGCGTTCTAAATATTTTGTCTAGTTAGTGTTGCTAGATCGCTTGTTAGTGTTCGTGTTTTAACTTTGAGCTGATTTTAGGTGTTTGGTGTATTTGTGCATTGAGTGTAACGTGTAGAGCATACCTTACCTGTTTTTCCTTTTCAGTGGTTCAGAATGTTCCCCAGACCTGTACCCCTGCATTTAAAGGACTTTTTGGATTCAGGACTTGAAGCGCAGTAGTTGTAGCATGAAATGTTTTGTGTGTGTCGTTTTTGTGGACTGTTAATGTGTGGTTTTAGAAATATTGTCCTTATCTGGGCATTCGTCAGCTTTTTAAAATTTTCTGATATTATGAATTGACTAATAGCCTTGGTCGAACAAAAGAACATCTCTTTGAAGAATCTCAAAATTGTCATAAGCGATTTTTTACTGATGTACCTATTATACAAATTACAATTATAAAGTTAAAGTTATTACGAATGCTCCCAAAAAGTGACGACTATTGCACAATTATTACAATAAATAACATGTTAAAAATGATTTCCAGTGGGCCAGATTATTACCCTTAACCGTACAGCTGCAATTAAAGGATTTTCTGGACTCTGGGCTCGAACCACAATAAAAAATAGGCGGGCACACTCTTACTATTTGTCTCTCAACTACGTAACTGATACAAAAATAATGCCCTACCTAATTAATAGTCTGTGACTTAAAAATCCGTGGCCATACAATTACTTCTTCATTGACTAAATTTGGCCACTGCAATAGTGACGTCATAACGTGGCTAAGTGTACATTGAGCAACCAAGGTTATTTAAAAGTGCTCACTCAGCTAGCGATATAAATGTGATACACAAAAATATTGAAATTACAAACTTACACGTCTAAACCAATAGTAGGGGTAAGTTATATTTCCTGATTGAAAAAAGAAAAGGCTATTAACATGATTTCGTAAATATGTACTAGAATTACTTATACAGAATTAGTTTCAACGTCGGAAATCGCTCACGTCATTTGTTTCACCAAAAATGGGTATTGATTGTGGAACGGATTATTTTTTATGGTTTTGGAATCATGACTAAAAAGAGTTCATCCATTTAATATTCTTTCGAGGTTTTTAATTAGACCATACATACGATTGAAAAAGTGCCTGTAGGAAGTAGATAATATTATATCAAATGTAAAAACATTTTCTTTATAAAGAGATAACAGAGATATCTTTTATAAATCATTTTGAAGTTTATAATATAATACGTGTTTATTGTGTGTATTATTCGGATTTTTTAAATCTTTTATAAATCAACAAGTGACAATAAACATATACAATCAAAAAAGTCTTACATAAATAGACAATTATTTGAAACAGCTAACAACGATGTCTTAGTACTAAGACTGCAAATTACTTATTTTTATTGAATTGTATTTGTTACTTGTAGTTTAGAACGAATATATGTGATACAGTAGATGTAAGGTAGTACTTTTTATATTGTTTAAATGTGAGATACAAGATTTAGCAATGTACTTTATAAGACTACTAAACTAAATGTTCTTTACATATACATATATGTAATATATAATTATTGTTTATCTTAGAGACATTTCAAAGTAAAATGTAATGTAATAAACAATCTAATAATCAAGCAATTCAAAATAAATCTTAATCTTAAATTAGAAAAAGTTATTATATATAATAATTTTTTTTTTTTGATATGACTATTACGTATTGAGCCCTGAGGGGGCCTCAAATATTAACAGGGCGTTTGGTGCTTGCGGCTAGACCAAGGGTGCCCCGAGGGGGGGCATCGGCCTCGGCTTGGACCGCCGCAATGCGGGTGGGAGCTTGAGGAGCTGGACGGAAGCTCACCCGGGTGAGCGTTATAATCAAATATATAAGATTCATAACGACAGATTGCAGAGTATGTTATTTTCTACATAGTGCCATTATTATTACAAAATTAAACTTTTATATATATATTGTTGTCTATATTTTTCATAGAAAATATATATGTTACTAGTTATGTTACATGAGAACAATGAATTATATGTTTTATTATTATTTACTTAAAACATACTAATTCTCTGTTCTCCTTATTTTATTTATAATTACGTAACCGATGTCAGATATGTTATATTAAATAGATTGAAGTTTACTTTTATATAACGAGATATAAAAGTCGACTTTATAAATAATAAATTTAGAATCAAGAACACTTATTATTAAGAAATGTTAAATATATTACAGATAAGTTAATCAAGCATACACAAAATGTGTTTAATAAGTGAATTACGAGTTATAGGTTTACAGCACAAAACTTGAGTATGAAATCCGTGAAGATAACTAGAGGCATCAATGTGTTTTCCTTACTAAAGTATGAATCTTGATGAAATTTACAAGATCGACACGACGATATTTATTTATTGTAAGAATTGTAAAACTTATCAATAATTAATCTCTTCAAGTCTACTTGTAGACTATATGGTCCCTTTTCTTATATTTATTATATTATTTATATCTTAATGTAACAATTTAGGTCTTCCAATTAGTAGATAGCAAGATCATATTGTCAGTCGTAAATTTTAATGTAGAACCAAGATTATCGTGGCTGCTGACTTAATTATGAGATGTATGGCTTATTAAAAAAAAGATTATCGTGGCTAAAAATGACAAAATTGGTGGTGATGCCTACGGTATGTGGCGTGTGTTTTGATCGGTACTGGCTGCTAAGACTCCTGGCAAAGATTACGAGGTTTTAGAAAT